ATCTCAAGAAAATATTGTTTTGATGTCAGACATCCCTCTATTTGATTATATTAACCTCAAGATATGTTGATATGGAGGAAAAAAGAAGAAAAGTAAAAAGAAATAAGAAAAAGATTTCGGGATAAAAAATAATGTTTTTTATAAAACGTAATTTGAACTGTTTATTTTCAAGCTTTTTAGGTATCTAGAAATTTGCTCGTCTACATCATTTTCTGAACTTTAACTTTAATTCTATAATGGGATGTGAAACTAGACTTTTACATTAGGGAAATTATAAATCCATCCTCGCCCACCTCCCCCCCCCCCCCCCAACAAAAAAAAAATAAAATAAAATAAAATAAAAAAGTGAATATCTTTGGACCAAAAAACCCCACGCTTTAACCCTTGATTCCCATCCGGGTAAAAAATGTGTCGGAGTAGCTTGTGCCGGTCGGACATGTCTTGAATATAGATATCCATTCTGATACAAAAAATGAGCTAAACTAGTTCTATAATCAAGTTGTGTCAGTCCGACACAAACTGTGCTAGACGGTTTTGTGCTGGTCCGGCATATTTGGTGCCATACCTGCTAAGAGAGAAAGTAAAAAACGTAGCCTAAAAAGGTGGTAGTTTGGTCCAAAAAAAAAAAAAAAACCTACTTTTTTTACTTTAGGAGGTGGTAGTAAATATAAAATGTTTTTGGTATTAGGCGTGTGATTTACAATGTTTTAGGGGGTGGCATGCTTAAAAAATAAGCTCAAGGAGGATATCTATAGTTTTCCCTCTATATTACCATAAGTGATTCACACATAAACCACATAATCCAAACAGGATTTAAAGGTGTTCAATTTTTTTATTTTTTTGGGGAAGTCCGTGGGGAGAAGCTCCCTACCCAATTTTTATTAATAATAAAAACAGAATCCAACTCATAATTTTATAGTCCTAGAATAGAAAAGTTACGCCACATCAAAAAATAATACCGAATCCAACCCATAATTTTATAGCCCTAGAACAGAAAAATTGTGCCAAATAATACAGGAGACAAAAAAAAAAAAAAATCTAGCGGTCAAAATTGCCCAACATCTGAAAATTAAGTGCCCCTTATTTTAATTGTCCAAAATTAACGCCTGAAACAGGCACGTTATTTCATATGAGGTGTTAATGATATTTTTTTGTTGCTTTGACGTTATAACCTCTAGCAAACCAAAAACAAAACCAAAACCAAAACCGAAAAGCTTGCTTTGACACGATCATTGTCATCATTTTGAAAAGCCTTCCATCAAGGCCATCTCCGCACCCTACGCCGATGATCACACGTATGTCCAGCCCTAATTTACGTAACAATTGGCTCTAAATATATTCGAATATTGTGGCTTTCTTATATAAAAGTCTTGTACCGAGCATTATAGAGATGAGAAATTTCAACATCAACCTCATGTGCACACATGAACATTGGAGTGGCCATGACACTGGTGATCCAGCTTGACCCGGTCCGCCTGGTCCTAAAAAACTAGGGCCTAGGCTAGAAATTGTGGCCCAATGGCCGGGTATACACTAGGCCAAGACTGGCCTGGCCCTTGTTTTTTGTTTTATTTTCATTTAATTTTACTTGGCCCAACCCGGCCACGCCCAGCCCACTGCTATCCCTTGATATGCATGCCCCGCGCTTTGGGTTTTCTTTGGGCTTCCATTTTTATGTGGATCTCTTTTTTAGAAACATATCTATATGTATTTACTCGGTGAAAATCTTGTTATAAGTTGCAATATTTTTAGGACTTGAAATTATTATTATTTTTATATCCATACATCTCAAACATCGAGTTGTTCAAATGGAAGGCTTTTCAACTTTGGAACACTCTTTTGTCCCAAATTTTAAAGGGATTGTCTTCAAAGAGACCATTTATCTTTTGTAAATGGAGGTCACAATCATTCTCACTCATTAGACATCAAATTGGATGACCTAGGATGAGTCACAAAGTCCGAGAATTTGTTTTTTGGAATTTTATGTCTATCCAATGACACTTATACAACCACCGATTTTGAAATTTAAAAGAAAAGAATGATTTTGATCTCCATGTACAAAAGATAAATTGCCTTTTTGTAAATAATCCCAATTTTTAATGTGCATCATACTTTTATAGTGTAAGGTTGCAACCTTATATAAACTTTTTTTAAAAAAAAATATTAAAAATTCAAATAGATATTGCTCATGTTTGGATAGCATTGTGATGACGATAGGGTGCTTAACTATAATGTAAGGCTGGGAATGAGTCCTGGTCTGATTCGACTTGGACCAGACCCAACCCGGCTAGGTTTAGATTAGACACGGCCCAACCCTAACCAGGTTAGGTCAGATGCATCCAGGTCTAGAAATAAAAAATATGTTTATCTATTTAATAGTATATAGCTATTGTTAGGATTGTGGATAATATGGCATGACGTCTTGAGTTCCATTCTAGCCTACTCTAGCAGAAGCATAATGTCCATTTACTCACTCAGGTAAAAGCCTACTTAGAATTAATTTAAAACCCCAAATTTTTGGGATGTGATTTATTCAATCCATAGATTAACTTCCATAAAGGACTTTCTTAGTTGTACCCTCTATGCACTTGAAAATTTTAATATCTCAAGATCTAATAAAGGCCGTTCAATTTTTAAATGGTGATATTAATTATAAAACTCAAATTGTAATTGTTTTTTAGAATAATCATTTAGTAATTATTAAATGGTTCCCAAATTTTCAGATTAAGAAAATCCTCCCAAATTGGTCTTCTGACTAAGGCAACATAAAATGTGTGTGTGTAGAAAATAATGCACATAAATCTCAGGTCAAACTTCGTCATGGTACATTATGACGGTCCTTGAGGCAGGGCAGTTAGTGTAAAACTTGACTGCATCTTTTCATAAATTTTGAGCTTGTCTAATTGAGGCTATGATCTTTGATAAAGTAGAATGGTAAAACAAAATTCATGTAGCTGATCCCAATTAATTGAGATAAGACTTGAATGATATTAATATAAATGCTAATTGGGTTAGGTCGGATTTACCCCGAACCTACCAGATGGGGTTCAACTCCCGACCTAGACCCGATTAGGATTGGGTCGACAGCTTGACGTGACCCGTTTCCCATCCCCAACTATAAAGCCATATTTATCTTTTAAGGTAAGATGGATAGGTTGAAATGTTTTTGTTACTTTCTACTTTTACTGTTTATTGTTTTGATAACGAAGAAAAAGTGACGTTTTCTTACTTTTGTGTAACAACTAAATTATGAAAGCAAACTTTTCTCCGCCTTTCATGGCCAGCGAAATGAGTGTGGAAACTTGCTTTCATCATTCACTGTCAAACAATCCATGGCCCATTGCCAAGCAGTCAGTCAACCCAATAATCCCAAAGCCCGAAACTACCGATTCACACCAAAAAGTTTCCATCTGCTTTTCCATTTTTGAGGTTCATTCCTTTCATTTATTCGTTGTTTAGTTACCTGTCAAATGTGATTTTATTGTTATTTACATGATTTCATGAGTTAAATCCTTTTTTTTTTCCTGAACGAGAATGCATTGATTCCAAAGAAGAATAAGAATAAAAGAAAAAAGTTCAAATAAAAGGGAAATTAACTTCTTTTTTTTTCTCACTTAGAAAAGGGAAAATACCAAATAAATGATCATCCACCTCAAATGTTAAATCAGCAAATTTCGTCAAAAAAAAGGAAAAATGTTGTTACTTTGTGAAGATCCTCTCACTTGGGTACCTCTTCAATGAATTTGTAAAAATATACACATTGCCCCTATTTCGAGTTTGAAATCCAACAAGTACGGGAATTTTAGTAATTTACCCATCTTAATGGACTAAAACTGCATGATGTAATTGATCCCTGCATGTGCTTTGGTCTTCATTTGGAGTTTTCCATAATCTAAACTCAAAATATTGTTGCTTTCACTAAATCTAGTTTTGAACCTAGGATATGAGGGCGTTTTTTTCATCAATTAGCTCGACATGTATGGGTTGAGCCGTGATGAATGTACCCAATTTTGTTTTGGGTTTTTGAACACAAATTTTTTTTTTCGATTAAATTGCTTGTTCCTAGTTTGGAGTCTAAATCAAGTATGAGGTTTTTAACAATTTAGTCACTTAAGTCACTATGAACAAATTACCAATAGGGTTATTCTCATTTTGGATTGCTAACCGTGATGAAAAGTTGATCAAGCATCGGCCATCGAGGAGGGACCTAAGTGAAAGAATCTTTATAAAGTAACCACTTTATTGATAAATTGGTTAATTTAACATCATTAATTTAAAGTGCTAATACTTCCTCCAAAAAAAAAAAAGTCATTTGAAGTTTCTCTCAGTTTGGTTGGCACCATAGTCGTCCACAATGGTCCACAACTTAAATTAGAATTGGATGGTGATAAACCACATAGCCCTGTTATTGTTTTTAGCCGCACGGGGGGTATGACATTTTCCCAATTTCAATTTTACATGTTGTGAACATTGGATCAACATACAGAGGGATCAACACCATCCAAAATTTAAGATTTATTTTTATTTTTATTTATTTTTGTGGAGGAGGTAGTTCATCGGTAGGAATTGAACTTGATATATAGCACTAGCACTGCTAAACGTTAGCGGCTAACCACTCAAGCCCAAGCCCAATTCTTAACTTTAGGACTTATCCAAGGCTTCACACATCGCTTGTTGTAGATCACCCTACCTATTAATCCAACGGCGATCAGGGTCATATCGCACAATAACATGGTCAGTTATCATGAGATTGTACCCCACATCATCTCAAGTTCGATTCCTACCGCTGATCTACCCCAAAATAAAAAGATTAACTCCACATTGACGTTCCTTTATTTTTCCTTCTTGTGCATACAAAGCTCTAACCAGGGCATTTTTTGCCATTAACCAAATTGTGTGGCATTTTCACCCTTGACAAAGTTTAGGTGCAATTCAGCAATTCTCAAGTTGCACAAGGGCCCATGTGAATGCTAACCCTTATATCAACTCCTCAGGGCTTAGGAGTTTGAAAAGTTGGAACAAAGGGCTTTCCAAATGGGTGAACCCAAATTTCCTCTTCCTTTTCTCCTCTTCATCTTCGTTCTATCTCTGAACCTCTTTCATGGGGTGAAATCTCAACCAGGGTTTGAGCTCGAGACATGGAGACCGAGAAGCTCGGAAAACAATACAAACCCCATGCCATGGCAAGAAGAAGATGAAGAAGCAGAAGTGGAAAGAGAAGATGGAGAAGAAGAAGACGTTCAAAGCAAGAAAACTTTTCGACAAACTTGTGATTACTCTGTTGGAAAGTGGGTGTTTGACCCTTCTTATCCTCTCTACGACGCAAGCTGCCCTTACATTAGCGGTCGGGTGAGTTGTCGGAAAAATGGACGGCCGGATTCTGTGTATGAGAAATGGAGGTGGAAGCCACAGGGTTGTTCCATTACTAGGTAATAAATCCGCACTTATTCTTCTGGTAATTGGTAAAAAGACAACACATATTATATACATGGAGTGTGTTAGATCTACATTGTAGCGGCCATAATAGGATTTGGTTTTTATTGTGCATTATGACCGTTCGATATTGCTGCTATCATGTTTTGTTCAGCTGTTTTTTTATGTGTGTTTGTTATGCAAAGCGTGAATCAGGAGATATCCAAGTGTGTGAGTGTGTGGGGTGAGAAAGGATAGTTTTGGACACTGTTGGAAAATTTCACCCAGCGGAGTAGTTGTCCGAGTTTGAGTAAATCGGCCCGAGCCAAGTAATGTGGTATTTTAAATTTTTTTAAAAAATAAAAAGAGAGAAAAAATCTCAAAAAACATATTCAAAGCAAAGTTTAACAAAACACAACTAATTCTGGTTAAAGTAGTGGCAAATAAAACACGACCACTTTTACTGCAACTAATTTAATTTATAGTATGATGTAATTTTTTCAATCTTATTAATAAAATCAACGTAAGGGCCTTCTCCCCATGGGAGCATACTGTATGTTTACTCTCTCAGGCAGAAAATTAACTTGTTGAGAGTTTTTTAATCCAAAATTTGGAATCTGAGTTAAATCACTAGATGACTATATTAAAAAAAAAAAAAAAAAAAAAAAATTATATTTTGAGTTTTCTAATATTTAGATCTCACCTTTTGATGGTTTCTATTCAATCCTAAAGTTATATTTTCAAACCTATAAAGTGATTGTAATTTCTATATGAGAAGTCAACAAAATTTTTATTTTGATAACTCTAATCTTGAATACATTTTTGTTTTTTTTTAATGTACCTCTAATCTTGAATACTTCGGTTTTATCAAATGTAAGCTACATTCCTAAAATTTGAGGTTTTGTCCAAGGGAGTAAATGGGCAGCGTGCTCTCTCGGAAGTATGAAATCTTCAGGCGGTACCAAAAACACTGCTAACTTTTTCCCCGTGTGTTGCGCGGGTCGTCGATCTGGTCTTCAGTCCTATTCTCAAGTCTCAAAATTTAATGGCTTCTTTCTTCTAGTTTTGCCCCCTGTCCAACATCATTTTTCATTTTTAAAATTTTTTCAAAGTTTGATTGATAACATAAACATTGCTATCTCTTAATCTATTGGATATTGACCTTGTCAAACCCCATGCGTGTTCAACGTCATTGGTATTAGACATCTCTAAATCCTTGCCTTTGGGCTGTCTAATATTTTCAACACCAAATAGGTCTCTCGCCGAGGGATGAGGTATCGGTGTTAGCAACATCGACCAATATAAAGGCAAGGATTTGGAGATGTCTGATACCACTAATAAGTTGTATGGCTATCCAACCTCGTAAATATCCAACAGACTAAGCGATTGGAGTGGTAAACATTTCTAATATCGGACGGGCCTTGAAAATAAAAGGATAACAGTGAATTTCTTTCTGCCATTGATGGCTGGTCTCCGCATAATCATAGAAAAAATATGAAGGAGACTGAAATAAAAGGAGGGACACTGGTCTGTACGTCATTTTTCCTAAATTTTATCACAATACTCACGATCACTCTACTGGCTATTCAACCAAGAAACTAATAAATTACAATTATTAAAATTCTTGTCAAATTTGTGTATAATATGAATAAATGACTATCTACCATATCCCGAAGAACAGGTAACAATGAGGCATTTCGTTTGGTGATGTCTGAATATTTTTTTTTAGGTTTAATGCGTTGGCTTTTTTGGGGAAAATGAGGAGGAAGAGGATAATGTTGGTAGGTGACTCCATCATGAGAAACCAGTGGGAGTCATTGGTTTGCTTGGTTGATGCAGTAATCCCAAAGGAGAGAAAGACGGTTTCTTACCATGGCATCTCCATGGCTTTCCATGCTTTGGTAACATAATTTCAATTCCATTGTTTCTTATTCATGAAAAAAAATAATCCAACATCTCATACACACACATAACACACTCCTTGTAACTCTCTCTCTCTCTCTCTCTCGTATTTGTATCAATAGTAAATGTAGTGGTTAATTCCTTGATAGTATTTCTCTTAGGGCACGTTTGGTTCATGTGAAAATATTTTTTAAAAAACATTTTCACATGAAAAAGTTTTGTTTAAGTGTGAGAATATTTTCACACCAATTAACTATCAATTAGTGTGAAAAGATGTAGAGGGATCAATTGATGTGAAAATATTATCACGCCTAACTACATGAAGAAATTCTTTTACGTAAAGATACTTATCGGGAAATATTTTCACATGAAAAAATGCCTTTTAAAGAACTTCAATGTGATGGGGGAATTCTCGCTGAGGGTCTGACCATGGCTGTGAAATTGTAGGACTTTGAAGCATCTATTGAATTCTCATGGGCCCCTTTGTTAGTGGAACTAAAGCTTGGAGGACCAAATGGAAGGATCCTTGATTTGGATTCAATCGAAGGGAACGCAAAGTATTGGAAGGGAGTTGATATCCTTGTCTTTGACTCTGCTCATTGGTGGACTCACACTGGAAGTGGGAGATCGTAAGCTCTCTCTCTCTCTCTCTCAAATATTTTTACCCTACTTCCTAAGCTGTGGGAAATGGATTTACTGGATTGAATGTAGGTGGGATTATTACATGGAAGGAGGAAGGCTCTTCAAAAACTTGAACCCAATGGTGGCCTACGAGAAAGGACTGAGCACATGGGCCAAGTGGGTTGATCTAAACTTGGACCCTCGAAGAACCCGAGTCATTTTTCGAAGTGTTTCTCCAAAGCATAACAGGCAAATCCACCACTCTCATCATAGTTTCTTTATGTATAGCATGGTCCTGCGGTAACGTAGTGCGCTCTTACTCCCTGGGGCAAAAGACCCATTTAGAAGGATCTTTTTAATTTAAATATAGATATCTTCTCTAGAATCACCAACAACACCTACAAGTATTTGAAAAGAAAAAAATGGTTTTGAGTTACTCTGCGATAAAATTCGAACTTGAAAACTAGACATTCTATCTTCAATCCTATGACATTACTTTTTTCAAGCACATGTGAAGTGCTAATGAAATTTTTCTTGTTTGAGTTTTGATATGGTTTTGCCCCAACATTGAATTTTTCTATACATTTTGTTACCCTTTTCCCGTTTCCATGGCATCTTCTCTTGGTTTTGAAGTTGTGATGTTGCAGGCAAAATGGGCAGAAGTGTTACAACCAACATGAGCCAGTGAGGCGCCCAAGTTACACACCACATGTGCCACCACAACTTGTTGTGGTAAGAGGAGTGCTGAGAAGTATGAGGTTTCCAGTGTACCTATTGGACATTTCTGAGATGTCCATGTATAGGAAAGATGGACACCCTTCTGTTTTTACATGGCCCATTAAAGAGCAACAAAGGGCGCCACTTGACCACTATGCCTCTGATTGCAGCCATTGGTGCCTTCCTGGGGTCCCTGATGCCTGGAATGAGATATTGTATGCCTCTATAATGTGATCCATCTTTGAAGAGAGATAGAGAGAGAGGGAGGGGGATGGTCTTTGGTGCTTTATGTAGTGAGTGTGATGACATTTACTTGGTGTACTAATGAGGAGATGGCTATGCCACTCATATTGTGTACTAAGGACACAATGTCTAGACTTGGTTAGTAATGCTTTGTTAATTGAAGAACTAAACACTCCAAATTGTGAGAAATTTGTTGCTGCCTGTGTATTGAACTTGTGGGAGAAAATCTTATATATATATATACAGAGGTGGTTACATTATACAGCTTGCGTGATATATAAAAAAAAGAAAGAAAATAATCTAATACAACCTGTAATCATGAAAAGACCATCCTATCTAGTAAATAAATGAAAGTAAAGATACACAAAAAATTACAATTTCACAGTCTCCCTCAAGAATTGATTGATAAGATGGACACCATAAGCAATGTCTAGCCGAGAGATGTTCAAATAAATCAAGCTTCCAATAAGATGCCTGTAAAGTAGAGTCACAAAAGGGTTCACCATCTAGAGAACAAAGTTTGACATTCAGCTCTGTAGGTGCGTCAACTTGCTTTGTATCATCAGTTAGACGAGCTCGAGAAACTATATTTATAGCATACTTGAGTTGTGAGAGCAAATAACTATGATAAGAATAATTCTAGGCCCAAAAAATATTTTAAGAATCACTCTCATCTCAAAAAACTGATTACGTTGGTACTTGATTAGATGTACGATAGCCTTATCACCATCAGAAATAATCACATCATCAACATAGAGAAGAAGAATTACACAGCTTCTGGGTGTAACTGAGACAAACATGGCTGGCTCATGATGGCTCTGTTGAAAACCTTCGGAGATAACAACATAATTAAAATTTTCAAACCAAGCACGATGAGCTTCGTCAAGCCCATAAAGTGTGCACCGTAATCAACAAACTATGTTATCAGGAACGAAGTCCGAGGAGGTAACTTCTTATATACTTTGTTTGCAAGATCACCATTAAGAAATGTATTTTTAACATTAATTTGATACAGAGGCCATTTATGAATAACAATTACAAAAATCAAGGTGTGAACTATAGTCATGTAGACAACAGGAGCAAAGGTTTTAGCAAAATCAATCTCAAAATATTGATTATAACCTTTAGCTACAAGTCATGCCTTATAGTGCACAATACTGCCATCAACTTTAGTCTAGATATTGTATACCCACAGGCAGTCAATGGCTTTTTTATCTTAGGGAAGAGGAACAAAATTCCAAGCATGCATTTTGTCAAGAGCAGTTAATACTTCTACTATGGCATGTGGCCACTTGGGTTGTTTAGCAACTTCCCCATGAGTATGAGGCTCAGAGTAATATGAACAATGGCAATAAATGCTCAATGCTTAAGTAAAACGGTTTTATAATCAACAAAATGACTAGGTAAAGCAATGACACGATTGCTACAATAGACAGAAGGCATTTGTACATGAGCATAAGGTGCAGGTGCCTGAAATGGTTCAGCAGTAGTAGTTAAGAGTTCTACAATTGGACCATCCACATGAGAATTGGGTGAGGCTGTAAACACATGAGAAACATCATAAAAAAAAGACAAAAACAGGAGCGGAAGAAGAGTCAGCAACAGGAGGAGGGGAATAGAAAGAGATATGCTCAGAAAATACCACATGCTATGACACTATAAGTGTTTTAGTCATAGGAACGTAACATCTCTATCCCTTTTGGTGGTAAGAATAACCCATGAAATAATATTTAACTAGTTTGACAAACATTTTGTCATGTTCGTAGGCTGACAACATAATAAAGAAAAACAAAAAAATATGAAGAATTGAATAGTCTGGGGGTTGAGTGAACAATCATTCAAAATGGTAACATCCAGATAAGGTAGTGAAAGGAATAATATTAATCAGATACCCAAAAAACCTTTGAAACTGAGGCTGATACGAGAAGAGTTTGTATAGGTTCTAAGGTGTGGTGATTTTTTACGTTCAAAATGTCATTTTGGTAAAGAGTATTTGGAACAGATTTTTTATGTTGAATATTCTTGTCAAAAAGAAATTTCTGAAATATCCTATTAACATACTCCCACTAGAATCAGATCTTGAGTTTTTGATTTGGTAGAAAATTGAGTTTCAATATAGGATAAAACCACGACAAAGATGTCATCTAGTTCATTGTAGTAATTCATTAAATTTGACATAGATCTCTAGAAAAATTATCACATGGGTATGAGACTTGATTTTTCTAGAAATCTGTACCAAATTTAATAGTGATCATTTGAGGTCCTACACACATGGGTGTGAGAGGGTCTCATAGGATCATTACCATATATATATATATATATATATATATATATGTGTGGGAAAAGTTTATAAAACGTTGCAACCTTAAAACATAGAACCACATATGCACCTCAAAAATCTATCGGAAATGTTGTTTTAATGTTGAAAAAACACTCTAATTGATCATCTTGACATCGAGATGTATGAATATGAAAACAAATGTTTTTGAATCCCGAAAATAGTGCATTTTGCAATACATTATCTAGACCGTAAATTTTCAAGATTTTCATATATTTATAGATCTACTTAATTTTAACTAGTTTTGGAATTTAAAATTTTCTAATTAGGTATGAAAATAGATTTTAAGATAATACTAAGAATTTTTTACAACAAAATTACATGTTATGATAAAATTTTAAGGTGCGCCTTAATTGGATTGTTTAAGGTTGCAATCTTATAGAAACCGCACCCTATATAAAATGAAAGAACCACCACAATGGTGATGAGGCATAATTATTTTTCAAAAGTAATTTTCTCTCTCTAAAATTCTTTATGGTATCAAAGCACTAATATTATCACAAAAAGGTGTTGGTAGCTGAGACAGAGGCACAACAATAT